ATCACTGAGTGATTTGCCTGAGCTCATACACTTTGAAGCATTAAAAACAACTCGTACTTTTGTTGTGATTTTATCTGGTCTTATTACCCCGTGATGTGGAAGATAAAAAGATAAATATCTACCTTTAGATATTTTTTCATATGGTACAGTTTCTTCCATATGATTGAGGTCAAGATATTCATCCATCACGTTATCATATGCTTCTTTAAGCACGCTTTTCTTTACCAAGCATTTTTCCAAGCTTAGGAATTGCTGGACTGCTGATATTCTAGAGTGGCCTAGAGCTATTGGTTTTGGAAAGGTGGGCTTGAATGGGAGTCGCACAACATAACGACCATGTTCGTTTCTTGTTGTTGTGGACTTGTAATAGGCTTCGCATGCCAGGTCTTCTTCTGAAGGTTGTGTGAAACAGGGTAATTATTCTACTTGACAGAATTTTTTGCGTTGATTATTTAAATATTCGTTTGAAATATTTTCAACTTGAGTTGTGAAGGAATTAATTTGTCTGTGACTTGGCCAATTAATATCCATCCAAAGATTGTTTTTTGGGCTAACAATTTATTATAGATTTTCTCTATACCTTTAAGAATTATTTGAGGTATTAAGTCGCTGCTTAATAATACAAGGTGAGTTCCAAAGTAAACATGACTTTAAACAAAAAAACAGAACAAATAGTTTTATCGGCAATCAATTAATTTTATTCGAAATAGCCTCCTTCTGCTTTAATACAGCTTTTTGCACGGTCCAAAAGCATGTCAACGTAAACTCTAGTGCCATCTAGTGCGTTAGAATCTGCTATCCTTTAACGACTTCCTGTAAAAATTTCATTTTATTTCATCTATTGGAAGTGAAGCTATTGCGTTTTAAGTGTCAGTATGTTTTTGTCATCGGTGCGAAAATGAGCTTCGAACAAAGAGCCAACATTAAATTTTGTTTTAAAATTGGTAAAACTTTTACCGAAACGTTTCAATTGATAAAACAAGTTTATGGCGATGATTGCCTATCCCGTAGCAGAGTGCACGAGTGGTTTCAACGTTTTCAATGTGGTCGTGAGGACATAAATGACGATGAACATGTGAGCCAACCAAAATCCGTGATCACCGAAAACTCCATCGAAACTGTGAGTGAATTCATAAAAAATCAGCCGAAATCTTCATTGAAATTGATGGAAATAGAATTGAACATCTCCAAAACAACGATTTATCGCATTTTGACCGAAAATTTGGGCTTAAAAGAGGTGTGTGCACGGTTTGTTCCACACAAATTGACTGACGACCAAAAATTGCTCAGAATTCAACATTCGAAGTACATCTGTAAAGAGGCAAAAAAGAATCCGAACTTCCTTTACAAGATTGTGACTGGTGATGAAACGTGGTGTTTTCAATGTGATCCCGAAACGGAACGCTAGAAAGCTGAATGGAAGGAGCCGGACGAGTCGAAACCCAAAAAATCGAGCCTGGAGAAGTCAAAAGTGAAGACAATGCTGAATTGTTTTTATGATTCCAAGGGTATTGTCCACAAAGAATTTGTTCCATCCGGCCAAACCGTGAATGCGGTATTCTGCCTTGGAGTTTTTAAGTGTTTGGTGCGTCGTATTCGACGTGTTCGTCCCGAATATCGCGAAGATGGAAGTTTCCGTTTGTTGCACGATAATGCGCCGTCTCATCGATCAACGCTTGTGGCCGATTATTTGACCAAAAATCACATTTTAACAATCAACCACTCCCCGTATTCACCTGATATGGCACCATGCGACTTCTACCTTTTCGGAAAAATGCATTTGCCGATGAAGGAAAGCGTTATGCAGACGTGGAGGCCATTCAAAAGGCTTACACCGGCATACTGGCGGCCATATCGGGCACTCGTTCGACATGCTTTTGGACCGTGCAAAAAGCTGTATTAAAGCAGAAGGAGACTATTTCGAATAAAATTAATTGATATTGCCGGTAAAACCATTTGTTCTGTTTACTTTGGAACGCACCTTGTATTACTGGGCAGCGACTTAATACCTCAAATAATTCTTGAAGGTATAGAGAAAATCTCTAATAAATTGGTAGCCCAAAACATAATCTTTAAATGGATATTAATTGGCCAAGTCACAGAAAAAATTAATTCCTTCACAGCTCAAGTGGAAAATATTTCAAACGAATATTTAAATAATCAACTCAAAAAATTCTGGGAAGTAGAAGAAATACCCCAAATCACACAACCTTCAGAAGGTGGTGCACCACTTTCAAGAGCCTTAGTACATATACACAAACTCGCTATTTCATTCGGGAGAAATCAAAGTTAGTCGAAAGACGACCCCTCGATAAGGGAAGCACACTTCTGGTTTTAAATCCTTTTTGGGACACTAAAGGATTAATCCGGGCACATGGAAGACTGGTGAATTCCAGCCTTACTAACGAACGACATCCCATTATTATTCTCGAGAAATCCCGTTTTACTTATTTATTTTTATATATCTTGACCAACTAACATTACATGGTGAGCATCGCTTGATGGTCCGACTATAAAAGTGAAAGTGAACTTGTTAAATTATAAATTATTTACAAAAAAATTTAAGAAAGTTTAATTGTTATATTACAAAGTATTTTCAAAATATATATTAACGTGAAATTAAATAAAGAGTTTAAAAATTAATTAAAGAGTTTTTAACTAAAGTAGTGCAATAGTGCAAGTGAGTATAACACCGCACCCAAGGGGAAAAAATAACTGAAACCACCAAGTATTGAAAGGTCAAAAGTCAGTTGTTTTAATATACCAATAAATCATAAAAATTTAAATATTTTCTCCATACATTAAATGGCATGAGTATAAAAATTTTTAATCCTAATAAATGTTGGGTATTTTGCTTTAAATGCCTTTAATAAACTTGCATTAATTGTTTTTACCACTGAAGTAGGATAAGCTTGTTTAACAGTATACAGACAGATTAACAGAATGATTTAGCTATCGCGAATAAACAACACTGCGGAAGAGACTTGCAAAGTGTAGCGAAGTCAATCCTAATTGATCTTATACAACGACCTAGGAGCAATAAGCTGGTGAAGCTCCGCAGAAAAGGCACTACGAATCGAAACTTTTGGAAACGTTTTCAAAAAACGTAGCTCTTTTAGATTTTATGATATCTCACTCAGCATTTCTTTGTGTTGTACGCCAAATTTTAATGAGCCTTGGCACGGATTTTGTTAAACAAACCGTTTTTGAGGCGCGAAAAGGTAAAAACCAAAATATTTAAAAAATTCAATGAAATAAAATTTTACAGCAGAATGTATATTACTAGTCATAATTAAATTGTTTGTTTAAACAGAAAGTTATCAGTTTAAAAAAAAATTATAAAGTTAAAAATAAATTATTATTTTGTTCTGAATATTTAACCACTTAAGTAGGCGTTTTGGAAAGATCAAAGGCGCGAAAATACTTTCCGGTGGCGCAAAAAATTATATTGCACTCCGATTTCATGAATTTTATGTGAGAGTATGCACTGTTATTAAAAGGGGCGAAGGGAAGAAAAGTATTGACTTGATGTTACCAATTTTTCACGTTAGGCTCAATACAAGACCTCACATATTGACGGATATTTTCGTTAAAAAGTCAGTAATAGGCTTTGGGTTCACAAATTCGGTATTAGAGACGTTGGAAAGTTATACTCCAATTTCTACAATTTTTGGGCGTAAGATACCTTAAGTGCACTATTCGTTTAAAGGTTTATTCTAATAACTTCGTTGATGTTTAATTTTTATACTGTAAAGTGGTAGAATAAGATAGAATTTAAAAGTTTGTTATATCGAAAGTAGGTGTGGTTATCGTTAGATTACCATTTTCACAGCATATAATATTCTACTCACCAAATTTGGTTGAAATTGGTCAAGTAAAATAATTTCATTCATACTTCGACGTTAAACATCTACTGAATTTCATACCACCATATTTATTTTTCACCAAATGGCTCAATTTAGTCTGAATTTACGGTACAGTGTAGCCCGTCCTTTGTTTTCGCGCCACTGTCAGCCGAACTTGCAACTCGATGAACGAGAGCGTACGAGCTGAGTGTCAGCAACACACGGTCAGGTCCTAACCTGCTTTGTTTATTCTTGTAAATTTTACATTTTAATAATGTTTTTTTTCTTCTTTTAACAATAACAATCCAACGCGTTTACGTAAGAAACCCACATTCTGAAAAGTGTCACGTGAGATTGGGGGATGAAGGAGGGGGTTGAATAAAATCTCACGATATCTCACCAAGGGGGAAGGGGGGACAGATTTTTAAAAAAACACTTCACGTTATTTATGGAGCCCCCATATGTATATTTAACCATTTAGACGCACACTTAAAAAAAAATTGTAGAGTACATTTGTCCCGTTTTACGACGATCTATTGCTCCAATTTACAGTTTTGTATCTTAATGTAGTACTAACTTTTGGCACTTTTGTGGGTTTTCGTTTAATAGCGTGTTCTGGTCCGATTACGCCCATCAGCAATACCAACCTCCTTTCGTTGCCAAGAAATATGTGTATAAAATTTCATCAAGATATCTCAAGTTAAAGTCAAATTCTAGCTTGCACGGACAGACGGACAGAGAGTCGCCCGGATTTCAACTCGTTTCGTCATCCTGAATATTTATATATACTTGTATATATATAATTCGATATCTATCTCAATTAGTTTTGGGTGATACAAACAACCGTTAGTTGAACTAAGTTATTATAATCTGCAGCAACATGTAGAATATAAAAATATGGTAATCATAATTTAATACAGACATTTAAGCATTAAGCGAGTCTAAGTCATATGATTCAGATAAGACCATATTTGAGACCAAAAATTTTAAAATTATTGTCGAATTTCAGAAATAGCGTCATATACATAAGCATTACTGACAGAGAGTGAGTGAATTATTAACTTAGCTTTTAGTTTACTGACTTTATATACTAAATGTACTATTATATACATCTTATATTTGTTATTAAAATATGGTCAAATATTGTGAATTTCTCTATTCTTTGTGGTCCGAATACTCAATTTTTATGTTCACTACTATTGCAGTAACTTTTTGCGTAGGCAATGCTTTTTTCCGCTCAATCATACTACTTATAGTTTTAACAATCATTTGACCGAAACCTTGCCCAGCAGGATTTTGGTGGCGTGTTTTTATTTCACTATATATTTGTTTAAACATCTCCAAAGCTGAACTTATTTCGATCACAACGTCAGGTTGAGGTCGTTTTTTTGCTGAATTGCAATTTTTGCGAATTTGCGTAAGACTCTTTTAGTTCGTTTCTTGCCAGTAATCTGGTTTTTTGATTGCGCCATCGAAGAATGTGTTTCGGTTGGAAGAAAAGCTTCAACTTCTTCATGCTTCATCTTATGCTCTGACTTTGGCGATTTCGAACCTTTAAACTGGAATGTATCTGTATTGACATATTTACAATCGGCAATATCATCTTGTTCCACGATATTAATTCTTGAAAATCTTTCAGTCCAAAATTGACAGGCTGTCGAATTCTTAAAAAATATATATTACTATTTTAAGTGACAGACACATAATTCTGCAACTACAGATCATTACACTCTTGGTACTGTATGTGACCTTAAAGAATCCATATCATCAGCCAGATTTGTGATGTTATCATATCATTAAGTGCGGTCATTATCCTACTTTTTCTTGTGTATTTGTCACGTAAATTTTTCCAACGGCGTATACTGCATAAGAACCAAAAGCAAAAAAAAATATTTATATAATATATATAGGTATATGTACATATTTTACTATTCATCACCATCTCACGAGCTATTCCCTCCCAAGTGGTCTGTTTATTTATTTAGACAAGTAAATTGTTAAAACCCTTGTTATATTTGCTATTAAGTTATTCGTGTTGTTGCACTAGCCTAATTAATTTTAGATTATCCATTTTAGTAAATCAAATTACTAATGTAGTCGGTGAAATAGAAACGTAAAGTAATAGTACCAAACGTAAAGTAATTTTAGCAAACTTGTTAACTACTTATTATTGTTCACTCCTGTATAAGTTAAAAAATTAGTTACTTTTGTTCAGCGAGTGGGAAAAAAATAACCCATTGCCACTTGGATGTCCAATGTCTTTCTCGCTCTATCCAATTACAATTATGGCAGTTTGTCTCTTTCTATGATATCTCTTCTATGTGTATCCTTTTGTTTTGCTTTGGTTGGCAGTATGGCATATATTGGTTACCGAATCTGTTAACAGTCTGTTAGATGTAACACATGCATGTGGACCAAATATGTTAGCTATGTGTTACATCTGCTATTTACATGTGCTACCGAAGGGGTTACCTATGTGTTATTCATAACAACAATATCTGTTGCCTTATACTTTTTATAGCTGATTCCCATTTCCCATAAAATACCTAAACGAGGAGCGCTTGGGGGAATAAATTGCCAATTAATGCCTTAGAGCGCGTACTTCTGTACAATCTAAGGTTAGACTTTTTTGATAAAGTCCACAAACTGTTTTTCGGTGGCTCTTAGAGCGTCGATAAATGTTTTACCATTGTCGCTTATTATCTTCGATGAAAAGCTACGTCGTCCGACAAAGCGAGCAAATGCCGCAAGGAAAGCCTCCTTCGTCAGATTAGTACAAAGCTCAAGGTGCACTGCTTTTGTCGTAAAACAGACAAAGACAGCCACTTAGCCTTTCATCAGAGTAGGAGACCTTAAGATGGACGCCTTTATCTGAAAAGGCCCAGCAAATCGACACCTGTGATGAAGAAAGGCAGAGCGAAGTCGCAGCGTTCCGGTGGAAGTGCTGCCATAATCTGTGTTCGCATCTTCTGCTTGTGCCTTGTGCAGATTTTGCACAGGAATATGCACTTATTTATTTGGGGCTTAAGTCGGAGAATATAAAATTCCGGCGGACCATATGTTGCAAGAGGCGATGTTCGGCATGAAGCATAGGTACAAGTATATGGATATAACTGATGAGTAATGTGGCAAGTCGAGACTTCTCCGGTACAATTACGGGAAGGCGTTCGTTATATGTTAGGCATTAATTGACCAGCCGTCCATTTACACGAAGAAGACCTTTCGGGGGTTAAGAACTAAGAAGGGACTCCTTTTATCAATAAATTTAGATTCTCTTAATAGGGATATATCGCGGCTGAAGTAGCGCGCTTGAGTATATGCGATAAGAGGGACCCTTGCTTTTTGTGAATCTTAGTGCGTCACTGTTATCGCATTGGAATTTCGCTGATCCCCTGACTTTTGAATTGCTCTATAAATTTGAGCATGTAAGCAACTACTTTGACGGCTCGGTGGAACGATAAAAATCGTTCAAGGATGTCGGTATAAAAAAGGTCGATTTTTCGACTCTTAATAATATAATTTAAGGAATTCCTTGAGCTAGTAGTTCTTGACCCATTGAAGACAACTCTAACTTTTGTTTTTATCTGGCTTTACTATTTCGTGATGTGGCTGCTAAAATAAGTATTATTTACACTGTATGATTTTTTTCGCAAAGGCTGACCCTATCATATTCTGGCTTCAACTCGCCTTTTTTAAGTAAGTGGAATGTAGAGCAGGTTCGCCTCCGCGTGGTGCATCCTGGGTAACGCCAAATGACCTGCGGCCTTTACGGCCTTTTTCTTGAACTCCTGATCTGACCTTTGCTCGACCTGGACATAGCTTGGACAATTAAATGGATTAGGTTGAACCCTGGGCTGGTGGTCTTGGTATTCTGTCACCTGAGTATGCAGGGGTGATACCTTGCAGAAATGGCTGATGGGCTAATGCCAAGGTCGCCTCCCGTCCCGTTAAAACCATGGCAGGCCTCGGAGTAAGTTCCCCTCCCGTTATCATTAAGTTGGTGTGGTAGGTGTTTGTTGAGATGACTCCTTCTTTGCGCTGGTCGGCTCTGAACGCATTGCCTCATAAGGGCGTGCGTCAACCCTCGCCTTGGCCTCGTAACTGAGACAACCTTGGGACCATAAAAGGCGACTACCTTTCCGGGAGACGGATAGCGGCTCTGAGTGGGGACCCAACAAGAACAAAATGAAAACAAACAAAAACAATAAGGACGAGGGAGGAAGAGGGTCGAAACCGACCTCCGCTGTAGTGGACGGTTCCCTGGGGGACACTTTAACCGAGGGAGACGAAAACGAAAAAAGAAAGGAAATCCAGGGGGTGCCTGGCTTACCGTCACGGGAGGCGGTAAGGCAGGGGGGGTCGGCAGGAGTCTGCTAACGGCAACCTTGGGTAGGGTGGAAGTGCGAGGCGGAATCGCCAGCACTAGCAGAGGAACCTCTGCTAAGTTCATGGGGGTCACGGGGTCCTCGGCGAACGCTAAGGGCCCGGTGGGGAAGCGAGTGACTTCAGCTAAAAAGTCTGATCGTCGATTGGCTGCCAAGATTTTGGAGCGCTACGGTGGCAAGCAGGCTGATCAGTAATCTGACCAGCATGCTAGCACACTGGGGTGGACCAAAAAGGTGCTGAGCGACGTGGGCGACGGGAAAGTGGGGCCGAGCGGGCCCCATACCTCAATAAAGCGGAAGAGATCGCAGGAGGGGGAATCCTCCCTCGGCAAAAAACCTCGGGTCGGACCCGCACCTATGTTTAGCGAAATCGCTAAACTCGCAAGCTCAGTGGAGCTTGGGGTGTACGACCGAAGCAGGGGAGATGGAGCCATCTCTCATGACGAGTGGAAGCGGGTAGCTGCTGCTATCTCCGCTGTTTTTATGAAGGTGGTCAGGGGAAGCCCTGGACCACCCCCTAGATGTGAAAGTGCCGGGTGGAACCTCGGCATTCACAAACTGATTAGGTGTGCCGACGAACGGTCGGCTCTCCTTTCCTCGGACTCGGATCTGGCTTCCGGCCGGACCTTCCACCCCGGCCGAAATTGAAGAGATGTTGCGGTACTGCAACCCATCGCTCCCCACCCAAGACTGGAGGGTGATCAGGCTGGAGAGCGCCGAGGCGCCATATCGGCAAGCGCTGATACTCCTAAACAAGCAGTCCCTTGCTCCTCTCAGTGTCACAAAGGGGGCCATAAGCTATGGCTTCGAGAGGGTCGTTCTCAAGACGCTCCCAACAGAAGCCAGGGCGGATGGCCCACTGCCTCCTGCGGGGGCGGAAGAGAGTGGGAAAGCTCCCCTCTCGAAAATGGATGTCGACCCTGTCCTCTCGGACGCGGTGAGCACGGGGGGCAGATCGTCAGGTGATGATGGATCCGTCTTCAGTCTCGAGCATCTGTTCGAGGAGGCTGGCGTCGATATTATGAACGATGGTGCGGAACTCACACTGCTGGAGAGGAGTTTGGAGGATGAAGATCCTCCAAATTAACCTCCAGCACTCAAAGGCGGTCTCCGCCGATCTAGTGCTTCGTCTAGGAAGGGACGAAGCCGACGTTGTCCTTATCCAGGAACCGTGGCTGAGTAGCTATGGGATATCTGGACTAAGGACAAAAAGCCATAAGCTCCCGGCGGCAAGCAGCACAGGTAGAACCAGAGCCTGCCTGTTGGTCGGAAATGAACTTAACATTTTTCTTTTACCTAATTTCAGCAACGAGGTCGTCGTCACCACTAGGCTGGAGGACAGTGCTAGGGAAATCTGGCTTTATCTGGCTCAGCCTACATGCCGCACTACGACAAGGTGGAACCACCTCCGAACTTGCTGAGGATGGCTCTGGCAGAGGCCAGGCGAAAAGGAGCCGCGTTTATAATAGGCTCGGATGCAAACTCAAGGCACACCGTCTGGGGGAGCTCGGACACAAACGCAAGAGGTGAGTCACTTTTTGATTTTATTTGCGATGTAGTCCTTTTTATCTGTAATAGGGGAACTGCCCTACATTTGTGACAGCTAGCAGGGCGGAAGTCCTTGACGTCACGCTAGCCTCTGGGGAAATTGCTCCCTTGATCTCGAAATGGAGAGTTCTAGACGCCCACTCCTTTTCTGATCATAAATATATTGGGTTCAGTTTGGACGCCTCGCGCCCGAAGCATAGAACCTACAGAAACTTCAGGAATACCAATTGGGTCCTGTATTGCAGGAAGCTTCGATCAGCTCTTCCAACCGCGCCTGACAGGGATTCGATCCAATCTGCGGACGCGATTGACGAGGTCGAGGGAAACCCCCTTGGTGGACTTCGGAGCTAACGGAGATCAGATCTTCGAGTAGAAGACTCTTCAACAAAGCCCGTAAAAGTGGCTCTAGCGACGACTGGGCGTTGTAGAAGTCCGGATTGGCCATTTACAAGTCCGACTTGAAGAAAGCCAGAGGGCTTCGTGGAAAGCCTTCTGCGGCAGTGTAGAGGGCTGTCACGAGTGCTCAAGGTTTAGACGCATTCTTGCAAAAAATCCTACTCCGGTGGGGTATCCAAGAAATGCAGATAGCGGGTGGACTACGAGTAGCCAGGAGTCGCCGAGGCTACTCCTAGATGCTCATTTTCCACTGAATCGCTTTTCTGAAGAAGTGCCACTGGGGGAGCTTCAGGAAGGCTGTACAGCCTTCTTGGACCTTCTGAATGAGCGTCACCTTACCTGGGCGCTGAAATCTTTTAAGCCCTTCAAGTCCCCGGGTCCTGATGGCATCATACCGGCGTAACTACAGCGAACGGTTAAGATGTCATGTAGCTGGCTGGCCCCTATCTACGCGAACTGTGTTATTCCCGAAGGCCTGGAGACAGGTTAAGGTTGCATTCATTCCGAAGGCCGGCAAAAGCTCTCATGTCGGT